GCCATCTCGTGTTTTATATGGTACAATGTTTGAAAGGTCATGGATAGTACTCATTATCATTGTAATCGTTCAACACACCGACTATGTTTATACCCATTCTTGCGGTTCAGCACAGACCAAAGTCGTAGATGCGGAAAGTGGCACATACTATCTAGCCCTCTGAAACTTATTCTTTCGGTTACTTGGTTTTTCCCTTCAGATCTTGTTCGTAATTTTGCTTTAATCTGGGATGTTTGTCCTGTCACCCTCGCAAGTAATAGCAGTGTCCACGTATCCCGTATAAGACACGGATGAATATATCCCTCCTCTCGTGTGTCTTTCAGTGAATGATTTCTTCTCTCCGGTATTCGAGAGTTTCGAACCCCCCGTCAATATTCCATATCACTAAAATATCCAAGAATGGTAGGCAGTTGTCCCCTTCCAATTCAATGTGCTTTGTGCATTGGATTTCGTTTTTGTGACGACAATTGTCCTCCACGTAACAGGTCTATAGCGCGCTCCAATTTTTGCACTGTCGGTTCATCGACAAATCCTCATATTAGAGGTCCCTTTCGATCATCAGAGCTGGGCATGCAGCCATACGAAAGCGCATACATTTTCGGGTCTCGTGGTTCCTGTTGCGCAGTCTATTCCGAAATACTTCTCTGGCGAATTTGTGGTTGATTGAAGTGAATATTAGTGTGATGTGATGTCAAAGGAAAGCACGACCCGTTGTCTTCCACAATTTGTTTAATTTGTTTAAACAATCGGTCGAAATGTACCCCTCGTGTTTCGTAGAAATGCGCAACGTTTGTGTCATTGGTCTTCACTCTCCATCTATCGTCACTTAGATTTCCCTGAGAATCGTTTTGATTGGATTGATGGGATTTGGAGTTTGACCGTGATTGGTTGGCCTTTAGATGGTCGTGTCGTCTAACCATTAATCCTTTCGATGTAGTAAGGTCTATCCGCCTTCTGACCAATCTAAGCGCGGAATACCGATTCAAACAATGGGCTTTTCGCCCAAATAGCCAATCCTAATGAAGGGCCATTCATACCTGAAAGAATGTATATGAATCCGTGCTTATCCATAAGTCATCAGCAACGCGCTGATGACGTCGCTTCGTTTTTTTATGAAGCGGTTGTGATGAAGTTACCGCGTTCAGCCGAACAGCGAACATCCTCTTTTACTCCAGACATCTTTCCTTGTCACCATTATGTGGGAACACACTTTTTCACCTAAATTCTGACTGTAGTCGTGCGTCACATGTTTTGCTAATCAACTCTTATGTGATTTCCTTGCCCTCAATCCAAGTTGCCCTTTTTTATTTGGTCTATTGGCCGTTGCTAATCCTCCGAAAAGAGCCTGGTTGGTAGCACCAATGGTACTTACGGTAGCTACATTTGCACGGTTGCACTTTTGGCTGCCCCTCTGGTTTTCCGATAGTCAAATTGAATGCAGCTGCAAGGTTCGTAGCTCAGGCGCGTCTCTGAACGCTTATGTGGGTTTGAACAGTTGACATACTTCACACAGATGACTTCAAAGTCCTCAGTAGGGTCCATGTATACTTCGAAACCAGCCTTTGATACAGGCACTGGGACGGCTCAGTTAGGCTATGATCGGTTTTGTAACTCGTAATTTGTTCGCTCTTGGTAGTCGTACATTTCTTCCCTAGCATATTAATGTCAGTACGTGTGTATCCTGAGGATATGTTGAATTTTTCTTTCATACTTGCAGATTGGCATCGGGCTGATTGCGTTCTCAACAGATGGGCGATTTTTGGTCACCCGAAACGATAACGCTGCACACGCGGTGTGGATTTGGTCTATCGATCATCGACTGAGCCTTTTCAGTGTGCTTATCCACAGCAGTGGTCAAGTTACTGCCCTGGCTTGGGACCCTACTTCACCTGCCCGATTAGCTCTGTGCACTGGTTCTGATTGTCTATTCATGTGGACACCTCAAGGATGTTTGGCTGTGGAGGTATGTGAAGATTTAAACAAACTGGGACGGCGGAACATACTGTTCGTACAGTGTTTTTCATTCAACTTACCTAGGCATTTGGGTAGCCATTTATTTAGCGCATATTCCGTTGAAATAGCGCAGATTGAGATTAGAATCGAATCTGCGTATCCTTTCGCATGACCTAGACCGAAATTTTTCCCAGCACTCTATGCAGCTAACTTATTTGGCTGTTTGAACCACCAAGCGAAGTATACACTCTGGAAAGCATTTAAAATCACAACTTCAGATTTTTTTTGTGAAATTTTCCTGTAGCGCTAAACGACTTTAAATGTTTGGGCGATTATATCCGCACAACTAATTCCAGCCATTCCATCCCCAAAGTCGACCGAAGGAAGCTTTTGAGATTTCAAAGATTACATGCAAGATCAGCCCATCCTGACCTCACCCTTCAGTCGCCGGTAACGATAAACCGGGTTCTTGCGGATACAGACTTTGTTTTCACACAACTGTGAGCCCACTGATATTTTACGACTACGAATACATTATTGAAGATGATAATGAGCCGGAATCTACACGACATTGTTTCGACGTAAGATGTGTTCAAATGTTTATACTTTTCATGTTGTTTTAGTTTGGTGTTTTTTAACCCAGAAGGAAAACGCCATTTACCTTTGTTTTAAAAGAAACTTAGCTCCATGTTTCGAAAGTTTGGGCTTCGTTGGTGATTTACCTGGTATGTCAATTTTCATGTTCCCAATGAGCCCTGCCTTACCTTTAAACAGTTGTGAAGTAATGGAAACGTCGGAATGGCACATTTCAGCCTCATCCCGGCTGATCATTCACGATAGTTAATTTAAGCATAATCATATAAATCGGGGAATAGCCGGTTGGTCATTTTCAATGCGTTTAGACTAAAGCTAAATATCTGGTCGCTGCATACTATGCAGGTGGGAAGCCTAGTTTGTGATCCCGCATCAACATTCAACTCTTATTTGACCGAATTGAATCACAAGCATAACTGTTTTTAACGTGGCAGGTAACCCAAGTTTTCATTCCGTAACTGTCAGGCTTGTCAATTACATGTTGATGGTGCGTATATATATATATATATATATATATATATATATATATATATATATATATATATATATATATATATATATATATATATATATATATATATATATATATATATATATATATATATATATATATATATATATATATATATATATATATATATATATATATATATATATATATATATATATATATATATATATATATATATATATATATATATATATATATATCTTCAGGAACAGTAAGTTCATTGGTATACACGAAGTCCAACTGGCCGATAAGAAAGAAGCGTATGCCTTCTGGAATAAGGCGTAAAATGGCAGAAAAGGAGCTAAATTTTAAAAGTTCAAATTTTCAGAAGATACATATGACAATGACTCCAGAAGTAAACGATTTTGGGGGATACTGATATCCTCAACACCTCCGCCTGAGGGAAAAGTCAGTAACTGGCTTTTCTTGGGTCAATCTAGAAAGGATTCGTTTGACGTCGGTGACGATCGGACCATCTTCGTTGGAGAAGGTCTGGGCCCCGGGCTGACGCGTTCTGTGTCGTCTCCAACCACGCCGCATCAGGCGCGATCGCCTGCAGTTCCAAAGTGTCAAGAATTATGTCGAATGTTAGGTTTCTGTAACACGCTGGCTGTTCCGAAAGATGATATGGATAGAGTTGATTCTTGTGTTGCTTCCAGATGTCTTGGCCAACGGAGAAAACATACATTACGCTCCCGCATTTTCGTATGACGTAGCCTTGGATTCAGGAGCCGTGTCTTGGCCGACAGTCTCCCGCAAAATCAATTGCACCCACGTCCAATTGGGCCATCTTTGTGTTTGCTGTGGGCCTGGAACGAGCTGTCGGTGTCGGAGTAATGGTTGAATTGATAGCCCGCAATTTCCGGCCCATGAGTGCTTCAGCAGGTGATTTCCGGTCTTCCAAATAGTCGTTTGGAATGGTCCGGTAGACTAGAAGAAATTTCTGGATTTGAGTAGTGCCCTCTTGAACGCATCGATAAGACGTTCTGCCTGACCGTCTGACTGTTGGTGGTGAACAAACATGCTTGATAGCATTTTTCCGGCAGAATTCGGAAGCAGCCAGATCTGAACTCGATCCGTTATCCGACAATAAAGTCTCTTCAGCCATGGTGACTGATGATCTGAGACAGGACTCGTAAGATGTCGGTTGTCATTAGCTGGAAAACAGGCACAACTTCTGGTTCCTTGAAGGAAGCGTCGACCTAAATGAGGTATGAGAATACTGATATCCCCAACAATGCAGTAAGTTTGTAACAGTTGGAGACCAGCTCTTGAGAACAGATACAAGCTGATTAAATTCTGTGCCTGTTGCTGAACACAATACGTCCATCTTTGCGACCCACTTTTTTCGCCTGTACTAGGTGACCATTCCACTTTGCGTTTGAGGTTCGTTGAATGACTCAGGTTTAATACCAGATTGCAACTAACCATGTTCCCAATAGGCTTTGTGTGGTGATGATGTTGCCGGAGATGCTAGATGGCTTAGTGGTAAGAGCTCGAATTTACTGCCTGGAAGGTCCGTCGTTCGAACCCTCCTGCATCTCGTCTTCTCCTGTCTGGGCTTGGGCAACCTGGCAGTATCTCAGCCCTCATGCTTCCTTCGGGTGGCATGGCAACTAGACAACGAAAGGGGGTTACAGCTAAACGCCTAGCTTTCTGTTAATCTAGCTGGAGGCAATGGATCCTCCAATTGTCAATTCGTCCATGGACGATTACCGTATCGCGTGGCCCTCTGCTCCCTGCAGTATCAAGAAGAAACATAGTGATCAGTGCCCTTCTTCTTCGCTGCAGCAGTGATAAAAATATTTTTCAATTTGTTATCATTCATCATCATCATCGACAGCATGACATCAGTATTCAACACTGATGCTTCACTGCCGTACAACCATGATTTATTTGAAAGCCTTATTGTAAAGAAAAGAGTAAAGGTGGACGAGGAAGGGACTTAGTGCTAGCTTAACACAATCATTTCGTTGTGCGTGGGCTGGGATACTGCCAGGGCGCCCACACCTAGACAGGAGGACGATTAGGGTCCTCAACCGAAGCCTTTGGCTCAAAAACCTAACCGCAAGGCAGCGGTGTGTGGCGGGAAGTGCAAATGCATTACCATTTCTACGGAACAAGTCACCACATGTTCCAACCCCCAACGGCCAGGAGTGTTTGTTCGTCAGACCTCTAACCGTTGACCAACCTGATATGAGAGACTGTGAGTGTCGCGGGACACTCCAGTATAGCTCAATGGATCGCTGAGGTGCGCAAACCGTCACACCACGGTATGTTCTAGTCTCTTCGTGACGGATTTGTTATCATTGTCAACTAGTCGATCTGATACTCTCCAAATGATTTTATGAATTTCCCAAATCCCACAAGATTACCCCCAACCTATCAAAACGTGGCTTACGCTGGGGTCGGCACACATGGCATCGGTTTTATACATCCATGTCCGGAGTGCCACTTTTGTACATCTCAGCAAAGAAGCTTTTTTTCTGTACGCACCACTTTTTTGCCGAAATGCACGCAGTTCGAAATTGAGCCCTACGGTAAACCTACGGGAATGGTAACTGGAAGGCATACTGAAACAGAAACAGGTTTGAGATCAAAAGTTCTCTGCTCGAAGTATGGATTGAAGAGTAAGTCATCCACTTTTGGATCCCGTAGACTGAACATATTATTTGGGATTTTTTGGAAAATCAGTGTGAAACGCTTCTTTGGCCCCAAGAAGGGCGATACCGGTCGTGGGCTGTCCAGGGTCTTTCATTAACGTCACGTTCAATCATCGGTGTCACTGACGTTCTACGAAATTGTGGCTTGCTTACTATTTGTGTCACAACTAGTAGGCTGCGTGATACCGATTATTTTTTTCGCCTTTTTTCTGTCTAGACACCATCACACTTCAACTTTACTGTGAACACACTATCCTGGCTGTCATCGGGTGATGGGATATTACTCCAGTCTGACACCCACTTTTGTATTTGTTATCTGGAAGCAGACCAAGAAAGTCCTGTTACCCACAAACCGTTATGGCGGCCACCACGTCAGACCACATTCCCTAGTGGGCTCAACATTGACTTGGATTCATCACTCCCTGTCGGGGTTTTTGGAAATTGTTCGCTTCTCGACGACTCTCTGTTAGATGGTCCGAAGTGGTTGAGACAGCATAACTCCCAAGGTGCAGGACGCCGCCGTAGTTCCTCTTTTCAACCTGCAGCCAGTGGATCACAAGAACCGATTCCCTACCGCCAACCAGACACACGTGCCACGTCTGTCTCGTCATCCAGTGGACGCCAAGCTTGGCTCCCCACTGAGTGTCCTCCTCCGAAACCAGTGAACATGGATCGGTAAAATTATCAAGCTAACTTTATAGTTTAGCTGCTTCACAGCCGTCCTCTCCTTAGTGTTCTTTTTACGTTGTACGGCTGTGATCATTCCACACCCCAAAATTGTACAACATTCCCAAGGATGAGAACCTATACCTTCGCATTTTTTTCGTACACAGTTTCCTCATTTCCCTATGTATGATATTAATATTCATCATCACTTCAGTGACTTTTGGTTAACTCGTAGTGCATGGATGTAATTCCGCGCTAAATTGTGACAGTAACGCTGGCTCACGTGAACTGTTCATCCGATCTGACCTGGTCTTCTTCTGGACTCATCACACCAACGGCTCAGCAATTCTCCTACCGGGAACTATGTCGGCTGCACCACTTCGTGGATAACCTAATTACCCACCGTCAGCGATCGGCCTCTGTAAAATTAACATGTGGACCAAAAATTCTGACGTTTAGAGTTAGTTTGGTCAGAAACTAGCGAACTACAGGTATCTGACACATTGACAGCATTACTTCATTGTTAGCACCAGGGCAACCGAGAAATATTCCTCTTATGAATACTGTTCATCATTGACTTTATACCCCGTTCGTTATCTCGTTTGAAGGATTGTGTTACAGCAAGTCGTGGCTGTACGAACTGTTCATACTATTGCGTCGAAGTCGCACTGTTGCTGTTCTCCTGTTTTTGTTAATGTGAGCCCAACATTTTGTTGCCGACACGTGAATGGAGCATTGTTGAGAATCAAAGATGAGAATCCCATAACCACTCCGCCATTCAGGAGCTCATTTGGGTTCGAATGTCCCGTACGGCTATAGGGTTTTAAACCAGCAGAACATCGGCTCCACACTTCGGGTTCGATAGTCCGCAGAGTCTACTGAATGACCAATGACTTGCATAGGATATAGTCAACAAAATTTAATGAGAAAAAATGATGAGACACTTCTGTCGTATTCTTCTTTTGAGATGTCAGTGGTTTTGACCGTCCACCATGTAAGTTTTGAGACATCCAGCGCGGCCGTATGCAATGATCTCCCCAAGAAAATTTGTCCACAACAGCGTTCACTGTCCACCGCGGTCTGATTTTAAACTCAATCCCAAAAGAACCCGGACACCCACATTCCACTTGTGGCGCCAATAGAGTCGGGAACTGCATGTATGCCTAGGTAATGCATAATAGTCAACCGAGTGTTGTGGACGCGTTGGCATTCTGGAGTCTGGCGGAAGTTGAGGATTTGGTCAGTCTGGTTGTGATAAAATGTCCTCGTGTGTTTTTCACTCAATCAGTCTTGGGTTATAGAGACGGAAGTTTTGGATTCACTCTCCAGTGGTTGTAATGAGTTTTTGAGCTTTTCCAGAGCAGGATGGCCCTTTTTCCAATTCAACAGTAGGATAGTGGGCAAGTTCGCTTGTGGGCGAATTTCGAATGAAACCGGTGGGAGTTTCCCCGACCTAGATGTCTTTGAACCTTGTAGTCCAACGGTAGTCGAAAGATGATCGGTAGAAACCAATGTTCATTGTGCAGAAGGAGGAAGATGATGTCGGCTGACAACTGACTTTATCAAAACTCCCGGTGCTCCAAATGTCCATGACGATTTTGTGTGGGTGTACTGCCTACCACATGAACCGTTTTACTGCACACATAAACTCAGAGCATTCAGAGATTTTGAGCTACAACTTTCTTGTAGGGACGCAACTCATGGGGATACTGGAAATCGCAACAGCTCCATCCTCCTTGGGGTTAATCAGGTAGACACATTTCACTACTTTCCGTCATTTTTTGCTCTAAGTGAACCCGAATGGCACTCAGTTCGTGAACTACAGTCATTTGCACACATTTTGTTTTAAGAGGGACTCAACTGAATCCCATCTGAATCTCATTTATGATGTTTGTGAACTGAATATGCTGCGCAAAGGCCGTCTTATGTTTCAGTTGGCACATTGTTCTAGACATCGTATATTTTCTTGGGATTACCACTTTCATCTCAGAAACGAACCTAAAGATTGGTCTATAGTCTCCCGGCTGTTCCATATCGGAGTAGAACTTGCTTAGATGTACGCATTGTCAGCCGGTACATTCAACCTGTGTCTAACGGCTGGAGTGAAATGAGCTGTCTTACGATCAGTTTACCCGCGCCTGGCCAGGCTGACAAACTATATTGCACGTCGTACCTATGATCGGTACTTGTGGAATCTTTAATTGCGGCAAGATCATATTTTCATCCAATGTGGTCTTGTAGGTACGGCTTGTAGACAAACTGAAACGTTTCTTCGGGTCTAGCCCAATGGGAGTCACTTTTTCAGGTCCGCTGAGGCTTGGTTATTTCTGCACGCACTAATGCATGGCAAGAGTCGAGCACTTACGACAGCCTGCAATATATCCTCGTTGTTGACTGGTAATAGCGGTGTCATCAATTTTGGTTACCACATGTGTTAATAGCTGACGATTCGGCAAACCCAATTGAACCCCGACATTACAACGTCTTTCGGTTTTGGAAAATACCATCAATTACCGGAGACACGTTTGAAGCGAAAGCGTTTTAGTGCCAGTTTCTCCTTTCAGCATTCAAAATAGTCCAAAGAGATCTCGATGGATAACTACGAACTTTTGAAAAAATCATACCATTTATTAAACACCCTGAAAAGATCCTGTTACTACTTAGTTCCGGAAATCTAGTATCGATATTTGGTCATGTCACACCAGTGTTCAGTGTTTAGTACTCTGTTATTTAAAAATTTAATTTCTAGAGAACGCAGAGAACAGTCGAGGTTCAAGTAATATTAGTAGAGTTTGTATCTTCACAAACTCCTGAATGAAGTTGTCTTTCTTCGGTGCACCAGATCACGCCCTTCGGGAAGTTATGAAAGCTATTCCTCAGAGAAGTGGTCTCTGCTTGTATGGGTTTCTCTCGAGGGTACTGTTGTATAACGTTTTTATCACTGTTTCTCAATGGATTTTTCTTAACACCCCTCATTATACCGTCCACGTCGTTGCGTTCATTGACGGAGGATGCCACGATTGGCGATTAACTGATATGTTTGTAAACCACCGAGCTACAAAAACACCCATAGATTCCCCTATGGATGGAACAAACTTGTTACGTGGCTACCTTTCTAATGTTAGGTTCGGTTTTTCGCTGGTGTGTATATTGCCAGGTTTCCGAACTTCAGTAGACTAACCGAGTGGGCTCTAATTATCCGTAGATTACAGAGAATACCACCGTTCTATTTTCAGTTCAGTAATTGCTCTTTGGATGGGCCTGCCTTCGAGGATTACTGCGGTATTTCGGGTTCATGCAGATGAAAATCATGCTTGGAAAAAACTTGTGTATTGTATCGTTTTATGCCACTTGATGTCCTAACACAAGAAAACCCTAAACACAAATTCCGGATTCCAGCCTTTGTTGAGAAGAGAAATCGCTCCTCAAGGACACCTCGTGGGATGGCCTCTCGAAAGTCATCGGTTCCAAGCCAATGTTCGCAGATTGCAACGAGATGGATTCGGTTGAGGAATGGTCATTCCTGGGGGCAGTTTATTAAAAGGGGAGACTGCTATACATCGGTACCTAAAATACCCCACACCAGTGAACGGTGGGGCAGCATTCCCACTAGAATTGTTCTTTTGGGTTGGCAAGCGACTGGCATCTTTAGACCGATATCAAAGAAGCTGTCGAATTGCAGTTTCCTGTTGGGGGCAATGTGCCAAGCAGCTTCTATTCGGTTCTGAAGAGTATGATTTCTCAGAAGAGAATTATAGTGGCACCTTGGTACCAAGTTTAGTCGTCTTGTAACTGTATTTTCCCCAGCTTAGTTCTCGGTCTGAGCCTCCCAAGCTAGCGTTCACGTCAAAACAAACACCAAAGGTGCAAAAGGTCTATTAACGCCCAAATCGAAATCAGGAACAGTTGTACAGCGCTTCGTATATATAGCGTAAGCGGCTATAACTTTCTGGAATTTCTGACGCGTTCTGGAGCTCCATTGGCAACCGGCATTCGGCCAATACTGGGTCATGATTGGCTGTTGGGTCCAGATTGTTGACCAATCAGATCTCGTCTTGATGCCGGACCGGCAAGCGTCCCGAATTTTGGGCCAACCTCGAGCGGGCTAGGCTTCTCGGCCGTAGCAGCGCCTAAAGACGTGCGGTGTAGTGGGATCCGCGTGGATTCCTGCCTAACACCTCCCCCTTGA